TAACCACATTCCTGTGCCCAAGAAAGGAATTTTGGTGGAGTCAGAGATCCCCAAGGGCCATTCACCAAAGATGGAAGGAAATTCCTACCAAAGAGATGCCCAATGTCTGCTTGACATCTGGGATCTAAGTCCGAAGTCTTATGTAGCTTCCTGTACTATTAGTCTGCTAAAGCAGGAGGAGGAGAGAGGAGTGGTTGGGGGTGGGAAGAAACAGGGAGGAAGGTTGCTTCAGAGGAGACTTTTGAGGTACAGATGGGGATAGGAGGCTATTGGCAAACTCGAGTAATTCGCACTAATTTGATTCTGGACTTAATTAGGAGGCAGGTTGTAAACATCTTCAGAACGCTCCTGAATTTATAGGTTTATTAGCATAAGCTTTTAGAGATGTGCCATTTATAGCAAGACCTCTCAAAAAAAGAGAATCTTGTTGCTGAAAACAAAATCGAAAGCTAGCTAATGATAAATCATGCTACAATTTGAGTGTATGCTACATGCCAGTTTACAGAAAAACCTCTCCAGGAGAAAGAACTGCTGACTCTGAGCCCTTAGACCTAAGACGTGAGAATTACAGAGCTCAGGTCCCAAGAGCCAAAGAAACTTGAAGTCAAGAAGTCCAAGGCTGGGATTCACATGTATATTTTTAATGCCTGCACTGAAAAACTAAGGCTCAAAGAAGTTGAGAGACTGGCCTGAGATCCCACAGCTGGGAATTCCAGAGCCAAGAGTAGGTCCCTGATTCCCTCTCACGTGGAGCCCTTTTCATGAAAACACATGAAGACACTCCTCCCCAGCCCATCAAGCCAAAGCTTCCTTGGGCATCTGGAGACATCTCAGGTGAAAGCACCCAGAGAGGAGGCTATAGGGCACCTCTGATGCTTAGTGAGGATCACTGGATGACACTTGTATAAGTCCCCAGCTTTACCAGAGTACATGTGAAGGGTGGCCCAAAGGGTGTATCTGCAAAAATTCTCTGGAACCTGTGAATGTTTGAAAAAAGGGTCCTTGCAAGTGAATAATTAAGCTAAGGATCTTGAGATAGATCATCCTGGATTATCTGGGTGAGCCCTAAAATCCAATGACAAGTGTCCTTCTAAGAGCCTAGCAGAAGGAGGGGTGACACAGAGAGAAGACACAGAAGGAAGGTCATGTAAACATGAGGGTAGAGATCAGGGTCACGTAGCGAGAGGCCACCATAACCTGGAAGGGGTAAGGGAGATTCCCCTTGAGAGCCCCTGGAGGGAGTGTGGCCCTGCTCACACCTCGGGTTTGGACTTCTGGCCTCTAGAACTGTGAGAGGATAAGTTTCTGTGGTGTTAAAGCTCCCGCTGTTAGAGCAGATACAGGAAACTGTACAATCTCTATGGATAAAGTCAATCAGAAAAAACAACAGTAACAGAAAAATAAGGATCACAGAATGGAGAAGCAAAATGTGGTATATCCGTATAATGGACTATTTTTCAGTCTTGAAGGAAATTCTGGAACATGCTACAACATGGATGAACCTCAAGGATATTATGCAAAGTAAAATAGCCAGTCACACACACATAAATACTACATGATTCTACCTATATGAGGTGCCAACGTAGTCAAATTCATAAAGACAGAGAATAGGATGGTTGATGTCGAGGTCTGAGGGGGAGAGGGGGATGGGGATTTACTGTTTTTTGTTTTTTTTTTTTAATTTTTATTTATTTATGATAGTCACAGAGAGAGAAAGAGAGAGAGAGGCAGAGACATAGGCAGAGGGAGAAGCAGGCTCCATGCACCGGGAGCCCGATGTGGGATTCGATCCCGGGTCTCCAGGATCGCGCCCTGGGCCAAAGGCAGGCGCCAAACCGCTGCGCCACCCAGGGATCCCTACTGTTTAGTAAGTATACAGTGTTTCCATTTTACAAGATGTAAAGCTTCATGGAGATGGATGGTGGTGATGGTTGCACAACAGTATGGATATATTTAATACCAATGAACTGTACACTTAAAGATGATTAAGATGGTAAATTTCATGTTATGTGCATTTGACCACATATTTTAAATGGAAGGGGGAAAAAAAACCCAAAAGGCAAGGATCACAGCCTTTATAAATTCACAATCATAATGTTTCAATGATAGGGTCTGAGAATGAAGTCGTGGGAGGAGGGCAGTCTTGAGATCCATCCTGTTTTATATTGGTACCCAAGCCAAGCTGACTCAGAAAGGGTCACGTGTCAGTGTGCTACACAGGCAGGACATTTTTCTAGATCACAGCCTTCTGGGGAGGTCGGCATGCCTGCTGGGCGGGTCTTGACTCTACTATAAAGCCCCAACTCTGCAGGCGCTGTGTGGAAAGCTTCCATGAACTTCCACCTTACAGACAGATGGCCCTCACTGAAATTGGAAGCGAGTCTGGTGAGAAGCTCCTGCAGCTACAGTGAACACCCCCTTCAGGGGGGGGGGGGGACAGGAATAAGCAGAAGTTTCTTCAAAGTGCCATGTTCTTGGACCTAGTGTATTTTACACAATCCTTCTCATGGTGGCTGAACTAAATCTGAAGTAATCTACAGCACCCCCCTGCCTACTACCTCCCCAACTCTTTTTGGGGAACATTTCCATACGTGGACTGAGACAGCTGTTTTGGCCCGCATCTACTGTAAACGTGGCTGGCTCAAATCTGGGGACTATGCTCGGTGTCTTCCCACTGTTTTTCCTACAGCCAAACATCTGGGAGATGGTTCTGATATTTTATTACTGTTTTAAAATGCAATTTCCCGATTGCTCCCAACTCAATGGGTTTATTTCTGTCTTACACAGATCAAGTTTGGGACTCCAAAGGAAATGCTATGGGGCCCTACTCAGAGCTCTGGAGAGGGATGAGAGATGTTCAGGGGACAAGTGGTTGGGGGCACCTACCACTGCACTTTGAGTCTTGGGATCTGACCACCTGGACTTCATGCTGGACTCTGGATAGCACACAACCATCTTCTCCTATAGCTTTCCTGCACAGGTGCTTCACCGAGGGCCAAAAACCCAGCATTTGACCACACTTGGGCCAACTATTAAAACCACTGGAAAGACCATGAAAACTTCTCCTCCCACCCAACTATGTGTGGAGGGTGGGTCTCCCTTGCATCAGTACTTTCAAAGTTCTATGCCCTGAGTTCTGCAGTCGTCTCCTGTCTCTACCCTCACCCCCTTTCCAACCATTTTTTTTTTAATTTGAGGTAAAATTCACATGCCATAAAACTGACCATTTAAATGTGAATAACCCTGTGGCATCTAGGATAGTCACAATGTTGTGCATTTATTACCTCTATCTTGTTCTAAAACATGTCATCACTCCAGCTGGGTCTCAATGGTTATTCTTATCCCACCCCTTACCCCCCAACACCCAGGCAACCACCAGTCTGCTTTCTGTCTCTATGGGTTTATCTCTTCTGGATATTCCATCTAAATGGAAGCTAACCATATGTACCTGAGCTGAAACCAAGAGTCAGATGCTTAATGACTGAGCCACCCAGGGCCCCCATGCATTCCTGACACAGCAGTGTGATCCAGTCACATTCAGCTCCAACTGCAATCACTTCAATGGCTTCCCACCATTCTTAGGATAAAGACCAAAGTCCTGACTATGACTCTCGAAGTCCTCATGCTCTGAGCCCTCCCCACTCCCCTAGCATCATCTCTCACACCTGCCCTCCTGTCCATCTGACTTTTTTTGTTTGTGCTGTGCTTGTCCTCACCTCTGGGCCTCTGTGGGGGCTGCTCCTTCTCGGAACCGCCTTCCCCTGGGTAAAAGACAACTGCCTGAAACAGTCACTTCCTTATCTCCCAAATCTAATTAGCTACACTAGGTCCTAGCACAGAGCCAACACTGGACTGGCCCTTCTGTGTTTCCTGGAAAGAAAGGCACCCCAGAGCTTGCCGTGGCATTAGGAAAGCTATGCTAGACCTCGCTGCATAACCCCACAGAGGCTGCCCATAGACACAGAGGGGCCTCTCAGATTTATGTGCAGTGTCTCTGAAACACACCCTGCTGGGAGGTTTGAACATGGTTATGTGGATTTGGTGCCCCGTCTGTCAAAGCTGTAGGACCAGTTGGTCGCCTTTCCAGCTGCTAGGCATCCTGACTTACCTCTGCCCAGAACACATTCTCCACCCTGAAATATGGGACAGATATGAGGTAATCTCTTTTGTTTAAACTTTTTTGTTGTTGTTAAATCAGATCTTGTTAACTAACACCCCACAGGCCAGGGAGAAGTGGGGCAGTGACTCCCTCTGAACTCTGGCCCCTAAACCCACAGTTTGGGCTCTGGTCCAAGAGGGGGCTCTGCTCAGCCCAGATATAGCAGTTGGTGGGGGAGAGGTGGGGGGGGGGTGAGGCACTGCTGAGAAAGTAGGAACCAGGCTCTGTGGCTCGAGGCATTCACACCTGAACCTGACAGGTTTGAGCTCAGCCCAAGCCACAGGGCGTTCTGGGTCACACAGGATGTGGTTTTTTAAGGGTGGGGAAGTGTATGCCTTCACCTTTCACCCACCCTTCCTTTGCTTCAGTACTTTGCCCCTGCTCCGAGTCTGTAGACTCTCACAAGCACACACGTACATGCAAGAGCACACATGCACACGCACAGACACCTGCTCCCACATAGGTACATGTGCATGCGTGTACAGGTCACACACTGATGCATAGACACACAGGCACACACTGGCTCTAATACGCTCTCCGTTTCCTATTTTCTGACTTCTAAAACTAAAAGTAGTCTCATATAACCCTTCCTTCTCCATAATTCCTCCTAGTCCCTCTATCACTTTTGATAAACTCCCCATCATTCCAATGTCTCATGAACATTTAGTAGAAACTGCCTGTGAAGACAATCCGACACGTAAAATCTCGACAAATACTTTCTTTCCTCCAGAGGTGAAGATGAAAAAAAAAAAAAAAAAAAAGGAACAAGAGCCTCTTTTGTGTTTTTGAAGAGTCTGAGGAAAATGATGGTAGCTTTAACGGGAGCCTGGCTGTCACTTACCTCCAGGACTTTCCCTGTGATAAACTGGTGACAGGCTTCGCATTTCACCCCAAAGAGCCCCTGGTAGTCCTTTTCACAGTACGGAGCGCCATCCCTGCAACACAGAAGGGTGTTCAGCTCCTGAGAGGGGGTCAAGGGGGCAGGGAAGACTCCAGGACCATAATTCTCTGAGCCCTTCTCCACGGAATGGTAGCAGACGGTAATTCTCCCCCACCCAGCCTTCACAGGCCTGGAGATCTGGTCAGACATGATCCCAATGCAGGAAACCAAACGATGTGGACGGAGAGCTGTTTCTCTGGGCTATGCAGAAATTACAGCCGAATCACCATATGATTAGCACTGCTGCTTCCCTGTTGTCTCAGAACTAACTAGCAAAAGTGCTGGCACCATTCCCTTTCCTCACCAGGCCAGATGGGCGTCAGATGTGGTGTCAGGGTTCACCCTCCTCTGAGGAGGCCCCAGGGCCACCTTCCCCTCATCGCCTCCTTGAGCTCACATGCCAGCACCTCCCGGCAGCGCTGAGATGCCATGTCTTCAGCCCTCAGGAGGCCCGAGGCGTGCAGGGCCGTCTCATCCAGCCTCTCAAGACCTCCTTAATTTACCTCAGAGCACAGTAAAAATGTTTTCTATGTGTACCATTAAGTGGAAAAGTCAAAAAAGCACCACTGTACACAGCCTTCCGGGTTACTTTAAAAGCTGAGCATTTCCTCCCTCTTACTTTAGTTGTGCATCAAGAAATCACCTGTGACGTGTCTTCCTTCTGATACAGGTGTTTTGGCTTCTCCCTGACATGCAGACTTAGATTTCTAGGGGGTGGGGCCCATGCTATTTTTTTTGTTTGTTTGTTTGTTTCACTCTATTCTTAAATTATTAAATTCACTTCATTTTTTGAATAGCTGATATATCATAGAAAGGTTTATAGGGGAAAATTTTCCCTCATTGCCACTGTACCCCTGTATTCATTCCTTTTTTTTCTTTAAAGGTAACCACTGTAACTAGTTTAAGCTACATTAAGAAAAAAAAAAAACAGAACAATACAACACTCCACTTTAGATATTATCCACACAAGCATCTGATTCTAACATGAGCCCCCTCCCTGGGTGGGTGTTTTTTGTACATTGGTCCTCATGGGCTCAGGGTTTAGACCCTATGTGGTTTTTTAGAGTGGGGGAGTGTCTACAAATACATTCAAGTCCCTTCCCAAGAGCAGGGCCCACTGGACCCCTGGGCCTTGCCTCCAGCCTTACTTGCTGATGTACTCTCCGGTGAGAACCTTCCCACAGGACTTGCATTTAAAGCACCCCAAGTGCCACTGCTTTTCCAGGGCCAGCAGGGCCTGCCCATTCTTGATATCTCTTCCACAGCCAGCACAATCTAGAAAAGAGCAGAGGCCAGCAGTTACCCCACGTTTGTTTTGCTAAATCCAAGCATGCAGGTCCCAGTGTGCACCCGTCCCACACTCAACAAATATCTACTTAAGCACCGTGTCATTCCACTCTCCCTCTCTGTGCCAAGTCTTTCGTATCCTCACACAGCATGGAAACTTCGTGAACCTCAGTGGAACCAAGGGCATGGATGTCCTTCATCCGTTTATTTCCTTGGGGGTTAAATACCCTCTGAGCTCCAGCTGGCCCAGAGAATATTTAATTACGTTGTCTTGGCTGTGATTTCCAGAAAGCTCTCATATGCCTTTATTAATTGAGGGCACGTGTGAGTCGCTAAGTACCTCATGCTGGATGCCTCACTTAACAATATAGATGTGATTCCTGGAAAGCTATGAATCTCATTTTACTACACAGGACTCTACCTCCTTATCATCCTAAACCAGACTTCTGAAGAGTTGTGACCATCAGTTTAATAGCCCTTAATTCCTCAGCTTTAAATTCTCCATGGCAGCCTCCTGTGACATAGACGAAGGACACAGGGCTTCTTTGAAGTAAAGGGAGTGGGCTCAACAACTTGTTGGCCCGTCACGCGACCCAGGCCCGGTCTCCCCTCTTTGAAGCCTTGGTTTCCTCACATGGAGGCTGGGAAGTTCTTAGTGCCTGTCTCAAGCCTCCAAAGAGGATTCAATGAAATAATGGTTATTAGCACTGGGGCCGGCACATGGGAAGCAGCCCTATAAATGTTTCCTATTATAACTGTCACTATTATGATTATTAAATACTCCATTGTTAGGGAAGTTAAATATTTAAAAGAACTCAGAAGAATGTACATTGATGCAACCTTTTTGAAAGCAACATAAACTTCCAGACATTTAAAATCAATGTGGCTGAGCAAGTGAAACACAGCATCACCGGGAGGTTGGCTGGTTGGAATAAAGCAATTTCGGACAGGGCCACTGGCTGTGCAAAATGATGAAACACCTCCCCCTTCCGACCGCATGTGTGACTGCTGCTCCTTTACCAGTGACAGTCCGATACCAAATTTTTTTTTAAAGACTATTTATGAGAGACACAGAGAGAGGCAGAGACATAGGGAGAGGGAGAAGCAGGCTCCTCAGGGGGATCCTGATGTGGGACTTGATCCCCGGACCCAGGATTATGCCCAGAGCCAAAGGCAGACGCTCAATCTCTGAGCCACCCAGGCATCCCTAGCTCGACTTTAACTCTCTCTGCTCCTGGAAAAACTGAGATGCCCAATCACTGACCTGCTCCTGCATCTTGACAGTACCTAGTCCAGAACTGCTCCTGCTGCATTGACTCCTTAATACCGCCCAGTAAGAGCTCTGTCCCCTCAGTTCCTCCACAGATGCTCCTGACTCCCCTGGTCTTCTCCCTTGCTACAGTTTAAGCTCACTTAATTGTCCTCCTGCCCTTCTGTTTCTTTGACTACTGGTGTGTTTCCAGTGATCTTTGGTCAGTGCATATTTTTTTTAAAGATTTTATTTATTTATTCATGAGAGACACACAGAGAGAGAGAGAGGCAGAGACACAGGCGGAGGGAGAGCAGGCTCCCTGTCCAAAGCCCCATGTGGAACTCGATCCCAGGACCCGGGATCACATCCTGACCCAAAAGCAGACGCTCAACTGTTGAGCCACCCAGGTGTCCCTGGTCCCACCCAGTTGCACCTTTACATCTAGCAACTTCACAGCTAAGATTTTTAGTCTACAAATAAATTAGCAAAAGTGTGTGTGTGCTTTGTGTCCATGTACGTATTCCCTGAAGAAAATGAATTTATTTCCTGCCGTACTTTTGTAACAACAAAACTGAAAATAGCCTGTGTGGACATTAATGAGAAGCTAGTTAATTATGGTATAGTCAGTAGTGGAATACTGTGTACTGTTGAAAAGAAGGAGGTCGATTTGTGTGCTGACATGGAAAGATATCCAAAATAGGTTAAGTTAAAAAAAAAAAAAAGCAACCTGTGGAACAGTATGCATAGCAGAAGCTCATTTATAAAAATTGAGTAAAGGGTATAGATGTGTTTGTACACATGCTTGTATATGGAATAAAAGACTTCTTGAAAAAATAATTGAAACTCCTAAGATATTTTCTTCTGTGAAGGACTTTTCACTTCACATCCTCTGTTGCTTGGATTTTTAGTTGTTGTTGTTACCATGAGAATGTCAAAAAAAGAAAAAATTGAATAAATATTTCTAAGGTTAAAATATAATTGCTAGACAAGTTCTAGATTATTGCAGGTTAGAATTTCTGTAAGTATTGCCCACTATTAGCTGAGTGGGGCTTATATGATCACAAAGCATGATGTATTCTTTTTTTAAGCTGGAGTTAACGTTTCTCAGCATCTCAACAAAAATCTTATAAAGTGGATCTCACATCTGGTAGGTTACTATAAGGATAAGAATGGAAGGCCTTGACATTTGCTCACAAATACAATATTTAAAGGTTAGGAGCACTGGATGAGTTTAAGATGAATTGACAGTTCTTAATCCAGTTTGAACTGAATTGGTTTTTCATTCTTCTGATTAGGTCAAGCCACGAGGTGGCAGTAAAGATTTAAAATAATAAGGAAGATGCTGGCTGGTAGATTCTTTAAGTCAGAAAATAAATTTGAGGGATGGCTTTCAATTTTAGAAACTGAAGACAGTTGGGCTCAGGAGGGTTGGCAGAGCCATTTGGGGTCTCCTCCTGCACAACGCTGAGATCTAGGGAGATGGAAGGCCCGGCAATGCTAAGAGCCCAGGCTTCGGAATTAGGACGTGAGCATTTACTTGGGCAAGTTATTGTCTCTGTGAAATGCCAACTGTGACGAGCTTTGCAGGATTCCGCTTAGAATGATGGGATGAGCACTGGGTATTATTCTCTATGTTAGCAAATTGAACACCAATAAAAAAGAAATTTATAAGAATGCTTAGTTCATGTTCAGCTCTCAGTGTGGCTCCACCTTTCTTTGGTAGGAGCAGAGGTGAGACTGGAAGGCACGTTCCTGGATGCTGAATCTTGCTCACTTTACAAGCACATTAATGCCCAGATATCCCAGAGCTCTGAAAGCAGCTGAGACACAATTTGAGAGCGGTGACAACTTTTCTGATTGTTCTGGATGAACCCGGCACCATGTGAGGGCTTTGTAGATATGGTACCATTTATTATTCAGTCAGGTAGTCAAAATGCCTAGCAGTCTGGAAGCCTCTGACCTCACAGGTGGCGTCCCATACCTCTCAGATCCTCTGCGCCCTGCAGTGTCCCATGGAGGGCAGATGTTCGTTCTGCAATTAACTTTGATAACGGTTGATAGAGAAGCAATCATGGGATGCTGAATGCCTAGAGCTAGGCAGCTGGTGAAACGGGGCTGGAAGCAGAGGCTGAGGAATGAGCCTCCTTCCTCCCAAACCTTAAGACATAAACCAAGCAAATCAAAGACCACCTCCTAGAAAGTGGAATACTGGCCCACACTGGCTGATTCAAAGTATTCTGGTATATGCCACAGAGGCTACCTACCCACTCACTCCTCTCAGGACAAAACCATAAATTCTCCACTTAAGCCTGATGTCACGCTGGGAAAAGTGGAGAAGATGCAGAGACAAAAAGATTCGTGCTGGATTGTTCATTCTTCCTGTGCTCATCCCAACTAAGCTCTTTTATAAAGTACAAAATGTCCTACTCTGTATCTTCATGGTTTTCAGCTGTTGAGAAAATTGTTTCCACATCACTGAAGCAGCTGCCGATAAATATAGAAAGCTGGTGATTGGCACTGGAATTATTGCCGAAGTCAGAAATAGGTGAATATGGAGCAGGATCAAGGAAATCAAGCCCTCTAACAACTTGCCAGTATTCCATCAAAAACAAATAATCACCAAACGTGGCAAGAGAAAAACAACAACCATAAACACTTGCCTCAAGCCTTTCATTCTTGGTGCCAAGAGCCAAGAGAAGAGCAGGAATTTGGCTACTTATGTCTGAGTTAAACTAATACCCAACGACACACCTGGTTCTATATTTGTATCATTTTGTTCCAAGGCAATAAATATCCTTGAGGACAGGAATCCTGTCTCTTTTTTCTTTTTTGGGGGGCATTGGGTCATGCATACCTGGGCTTTGAAAATATTTAAGTTGAAGAAGGTGACAAATGGCTCTCAGCAAGAAAACCTGTGTTCCCAAGCTAAGAAAGATGTCCTCACTTGAACAGCTCTGAAGGTTCTATCAGAAAGGATTCCTATGTTCTCCTTGAGAACTATTTCTACCTTGTTAGAATTTCTCACTTGGAAAAAGGAAGGGCCAAAAATATGTCTTCCTCTGTGAAGATGCCTCTCTGGAGAAGAGGGCTGAGCAGATGGAGCTCTAGAAAAGAAAACCAGGTGATAATTAAATTCCTATCCCCACCTTCCTAGGCCTGCAGGCTTCATTCATGCCCAGAACCATTAATGAAGGTGGGCATTGCATTCACAGTAGCTACTAATCTGGGATCAAAGCTTTCAGAAAACAGAAGAGGGATCTTCCTAGTGCTTTAGGCCATGGTCTCAGAGCTGAAGATAATGGTGATAAATATTCCGTCTCCCAAAGAAAGGTGCCAAGAATATCCTTGTAGGACTTTCCAAGAGACAGTAGAGTTCACCTGATGACTACCAACCTCTATTCCCTACTTACCTCTGAAAATCAGAAATTTTAAAACACATAACGAGACACCAGGGAGCTGGCCACACAGCAGGAGTGTGGTGGTGTTCTCTCCCCTCTGCTGTGACAGGGATTAGAGGACCTTGGGAGAAGGACCTAGATGTTTACTGAGTGGGGAAGCTCAGGCCCTACAGCTACCATGGGTCCATAAGAAGCTTGATGTTAGAGTTCTTGGAACAAACTGGTTTGAATGTCCTGAAGCTTGGAAGCATTCACAAATAGAAAAATCTAGAGTCTGCTGAATTCGGAAGATTTGGAAGACAGGAAGCTGGTTAGAGACCTCTCCCTTCCCCTGGCAA